CATCCCACCGCGGGGGAGTGAGCGAGCGGCTGTGTGGTGCTTAGTTGCTGGCTGGGGTTAAACCACGACACCAGGCAAGTCAAACCAACAATTTTCGTACAAGATTATACATTCAAAGGCAACTATTCAGTCATCCTTTAAACAGTCAGCTGTGAGCAGTCACAACCTGAAGCCATAGCATCAGTTTACAGCCTAACTCCTACAGAGAGAAAAATGTTCCTCCTCCTCTTCTACTGCCTGCTTCCACCTGCACTGTGCCAGTATCCGAGAGGCTGCATTTTGAACTGACTCAGGAAACTGAAAAATAGCCTGGAAAAGAAAAACAGTATTTTTAACTAGTTCCCTAGTTTACAGTGCAGTTGCACAAATGTGTGCAAAAGGAAGAAAGCTGACTGGGATGTGTTTTTGTCGGTGGCAGTGGCAGCACCATGCTTCCTCCATTTCTCCAGCAAAAGCCACAGGCTGCCTGCTCTCCACCCTGGCCCTCCAACCTTTCCACCTAACACGCTGGGCTTTGCCTACAAAACAAGAAATTCCACATTCCTTCCTCTGCTGCAGTAACTCACAGCTTTCTCAGAGGGGCGTAATCCTGAGGGTTAATTTGAGACAAAGGATTCACATACACAGAACTGAAAGCTACAGAGGGATCCAGAGCACGTTTAAGAGTAGTTGCACACTAGAGAGACTCTAAGAAAGACAAATGAGACGTGGTTATAGTAGGCAATTAGGAAAGAGTTGTTAATTTGTAAGAAACTTAGGACTACAAATGAAAGTGACTCAGCACCTTTCTTTCTTTTCAAAGTCTACTGTCAAAATGCAGATGACTTGCTTAATCCAGCAGGAGGAAAGCATTAATAATGCAACAGACATTAAAGGAAAACATTAATTGTCTTACACATGCAAATGCAGGACATTGTTTCAAAGGGATTTGTGTTCACCAGTCTCACAGCTGAAGGGTGGTATATGCCTCTGCTACTCTATTTTTGTCTCATCTTGCAAACACCAGTTTTAAAGATCTGATTAGAAATTTACCACATTCTTCTAGAGTTATTTCAGATTCCAACCAGGGAAAGACCATAACTATTTTTAGATAGCTGGCTGGGTTAAACCATATGGAGAACAGCATCAGTAATGAACATGATACAAATGAGTTTGCTCACAAGCATGACCGGAAGATGAAACTGGAGACTTGCAGATACCTTCATTTACGAGTAATGATGATCACACGCAAGTGGAAATGGTTTAATTGTCGTCCAGCTCACTGCTACCCGTCTAAGTCTTACACATGTGCATGGAGGAAAAGGTTTTCAAAAGGCTGAGGGGAATGTAATGGCTAACTTCAAGACGGAGCTAGACTCTCCTCAGACATGCATGCTAAAATGACAAGAGGCGACAGATACAAGTTGAAGCAAAGGAACTTCCCATTTGATAAAAGGGAAAAAATCACTATAACAAAGGTGACCAAACATCAGAAACTGGCTACCCAGAGATGTTGTGCAATCTGCACTTGCAGGTATTCAGAACTTGTCTGGCAAGGCCTTGAGCAGTCTGATTTACCTGCAGAGCTGGCTCTGCCTGGACTGGAGGGCTGGACCAGAGACCTCCAGAGGCCTCTTCTAACCTCACTACTCTTAAGTGTCCCTTTATTTGTATTTACACAAGGTGCACACAGTCCTACGTTTTACCACTGCACAAGTCCCTGCTGGTCTAGTTTGGTATTCAATATTTTTGTTGGTTTCACTGTTACGATTATGGAAAATGAAGGAATGGGGGAATCATTAATCATTTGTTTAAATAATATATGTAAATTCTCTTAGGCAACAGAGGCGTAAGTAAGGATTATGACTCTCTTCTAACAAGTAAAGTACATGATTGATGACATAGCTTTGACACTAAAGAAGTTCTAGTCATAAGGCAAGACAGAACAAGCTTAAAGGACAACGGCAAGAAAGCTGTCAGACAGACAAAGATATGAGATTAACGAGAAGATGCAATTGTACATACACTAAACGCTGAAACTTGTCCTGAATTCTCTGAGTATGTGAAAAATTATCATTAGAAAAAAAAGCCTGTAACTACACTAGGGGGAGCTATATACACATCACAAAGTGTGACTGAGCTAAAATTAAAATCAGTATTGCTGTCATAAAATCCTCCGAGTACTTTGTACAGTATTTTTTAGATATTTTTTGAAGAGGAAACTAAGCTGCAGAGAAGAAATACGCAAAATAAAGTTACTCAGTATCAAAGTACTAAAAAAGAAATCCCATTGCTTCATATATTCTATATTTGTGCTTAACTGCAAGCATGAGTTTCTCAGAAATTCATACCTTTGTTTCAGATGGCTTCATAATTTGTGATTTTGATGCATCTGCAGAGAGGGGCTGCTTCTGAGAGAAAAAAAACAATTAATTTCACCTGTTACACATACTACTATTAAGCAGGCACAAGCAACCTGAATTCATTAGATATCCAGCTAAAAATTAAGAATACATTATTATTGAAAATTAGAGTTATCATTTTAGATCTTCTGTCTTGTCTGTATTTCTACAATACATGTATGTATGATTTCAACAGCGTGATGCCCATAGATCTTCTCACAACAATTTTTTTTTCTCTGACACATACTGAAAGCAAATTTCACACCAAGTATCAAAGCAAACTCAAATGCTCCTCTCATACTGAAGCATATATACTTACTGGGCAGGATTCTTCCACATTTCTTTTTTTCTTTTTTTTTAAACAAACATTGTACTTTTGGATTTACTAGTTTGCCACACAGAATATTTAATACTAAATTATCAAACTCAAATATATTCAGATAAAAAGGAATAATTAATTTCTATGTAACATACACAAGTGTTTCTACATATCATGCAACCATTTTGGAAAAGCTGCAAATGACGCAGCCTGTTGTCCTAGCTTCAGTGATGTTAATCTGAGAACAGCATGTTTTAATTCTGCTATCACTGTATCAGATTTCAAAGCCCAGAAATGAATATTCTAATTGTCTCATCAATACTTTACACAGGTGTAATACTACCTCTCTATTCCTGCTTCATGTTCCTCTGCATAAAGCTGTATTTGCCATCTCGATCACAGCAACACATTCATAGTTTACATTTAAATGAACACCACAAGTTATCAATTTTTGTAGATTTTTTCTTCATGCTTACCATGTCATTTGCTGTATGAAAACATGCATTGTCTGAATGAACTCAGAAGCCATATGACTACTCCATACCTGTCGTGACTCCTTACTTCCACATGGAAAATTTTCTCATTTCCAGAACTTTTCATAGTACAAGCATTTGTCAACAATAAGACAAAAGTTGTACAGAATTCAAAAGGTGCACTGTGGTGATGACGGTGTGCTCTCCTCGCCAGTGTATCTGGTATCTTGCACACCGTAGTAAGAGGTTTGACTACTCTAAATATAGACTAGAGAGAATTTGCAACTGTCACACTAGACAAATGTAAGCAATTAATATCTGCTTCCATATATGTATATACATACAGATTGACTACATAATAGACGGGAACTTTTATATGGGTGGAGACATACACAGGAACGTATAGAGCCTCCTACATCAGGACAGGAAACAAAAGTTTTTAAACAATCTTTTTTATATATTTCCACTACCATCATCAGGTAATCTGTAGGCAATGCTATATTTTTCTTAATTTGCCCTTTAATAGTTTTTCCTTTCCTTTTCTTTCTTCTCCATGAAATTAATCTGAATTTCTTCTACATGACTAACAAGCAGGTATCTGTTCTACATCTTTGTATTAGTCACCCTAGTCCCTGTACATTTAATAAACACATTTACCTGAGCCCTTCCTTCCTTCCTCCCCTCTGAAAACTCCTACCAAGCGTTTTTCTTACAATACATTGGAAAATTCTTTCCCAAGTTCCAGCACAGCAGCACCACTACAACCTGCAGAGATTAGTGAAAACCTCTCAAACAAACCAGCTGCTTCTCCTTTCTACCCTGTCCAGCTGGATGGCAGTAACTAGCAGCTACTAAGAGATGAGGAGTATAAATATTTATGGAGGACGAACAGTAGTTTGGTGATAGAAAAGAGTTTCATGCATGGCTGCTGATCAGCAGCTATGGAGAATGCCAAGCCATCCTCCCCAAAAACATTCAGGGCTGGTTTGAGGCAACAAAACCCTGTCCTGAGGAGCTGGAAGGGGGAAGCGGGAAGGATGGCGGAGAGCAGAGGGCACCCTCCCATAGACCACCGCAGTGCCACACCACCATGATCTTCTGCCGTCCTTGGGGGCACGGCATGCCTTGCTTCATTTACAGCACTTTTTGCCTGAATTCCCCACTATTCAGGGCCTCCAATTTTCCACTCTCTCCCTGGAAAGAGCCACTACAAGGAGGAAGGGGATCCTTGTACTTCGAGCCCTTTAGTGCTTGGGATCTGCAACCCACTGAGCCTTACAGATTGACAACGCAAGAAGCTGCCAAGGTCCAACCCCTCGTTTGGTAGCCACCACGCAGCTGGTCAACACCAGCCTGACTCTGAGGGACTACTTTTTACTGCGGGTTGCTCTGCTCTTCCTCTCCCAAGGGTTGTGTGCTGTGAAGAGCCATGCCCAGCTGTTAACCGGCTGCATTTCCTGCAGCCTCACAGTTGGACTGCAGAAGGGGTGAAGCAACACACGGAACGTGTGTCAGGCGTGGAGGTAAATATTAAAATGCTGCCTAGCAACGGGCATAATAACCGCTTGACGCACAGCTGCCGCAGTGGCTGCAGCCCGGGCAGGCACACCCTGCTCCTACCCAGGGGTGGTAACCCCCCGCCGCGGCCTGGGCCCAACACTCCCTCACAAAAAAGTTACACTGCCAAACAGAAAAGCAAGAATGAGGAGAGTTCGACTTGCCTTGGAGGTTGGAGCTTGGCAGAGAAAGCCAGGCAGGTGCTCCCACAGAGAGAGCAAAGTTTTTGTTGCGTTGACAGGGACACCCCGGAGGGCAGAGCTGACAGCGGATGGAAAAATGAGTGTCATCGGCGCTGACGCCTGTTCCTCCTGTGGCTGCACCCCCCTGGGTCCTGCCTGAACAGAGGTACAGGTGTTGGAGGATGCCGTGCCGGCCCCAGTCCCAACCCACAGGGAAGGTCCCCTGCGAGCAAGGGGACAGCCAGGGGGGTCCCGGCCCGGGGGTCAGCTGCTGCATGGCACGGCTCTTCAGAAAGCACCTTTGGGGGCTGGGAGAGGAGGAAAACTCCACAGCAAAGCATCCAGGACTACAAGGAGGTCACCAGCACGGAGCATGCGGAGATGGCTCCCTGCAGAGGAACCCACCAGCAGTACGAGACCCCCACAACCACCCCAGAAGGGGCTCAAAAGACAGAGCAGAGGTTACAGGTGAACACCGATTAAGTGAAGACTGCTACCTGTTAATTAACCCCATGCTGCTAGCAGAGCTACCAGACGACAGGCAGCATGATGGCTGCAGGGTCACAGCCTGTGCTCTCAGCAGCCTGCATGGCAGGCAGGACAGGCAGAGACAGACAAGCACAGCAACTGACCAACAGACCTCAGATGCTTTTGGCCAGGAGTTAGAGGATGGCTTTCCAGGAAGGGCTGATGAAGGGACTGGGGATCTAATTGGAAACTCATTAGTCAAATTAGCAGGACAGTCACAACAGCAAAACTGTCACAAAAGCAAGAAAGTGGGTTAGTAGAACAAAACAAAAAAGCCTACCAAAAATGGGTTATCTAGTCTCATGGGATGTACCTCAGAAATCTGGATGTAAAAGGGAAGGTGTTACAGGAGAAGAAAACAGAGAAAGTAAAGGTGATAAACATCAAGAGAACATAATTTTAACTATTCAGGGAACTGGATGCAAATGCCTGTCTGAAAAAAGAAAACGGCAGGTGATGAACCCCCATGAGAGCTCTCAGTTATGGAAAGCTGGAAATCACTGAAACTGCCCCACAGGCAATGTAGTGAAAGCTATTGTCAACTAAAACTATAAATTTTGGAAATTCATGGAGAAGACTCATCAGACTGCAGGAGGATACTGCCCACCCTTAGAAAGAAGCAGCCAGGTAACAAGGCACCAATGAGGTACATTCAAAAACAGAAGAGATGCTGAAAACATTTACCAAGCAATCAATAGAGAAACACTTCGATGATAACAAGAGAATAAATAAGAATCGACAGATTGGTGAAGAATAAAGCAGGTAAAGACAACGTAACACTTAATACACTCAAACATGGAAATAAGCCTGGTGGATAAGAACGAACGAACCTCCAGAGGAGGACATGCTATCACTGCAACTTCTCGCAGTACTTGAGGTGACATTTTGTTGAATGAAACAGGGAAGTTAGTGTGTAACGCTGGGTCACAAGCTTGCTTTCAGCCAGCTTCCAGCCTGAACATTTCAGGGAGTTCCTGACGGGATCTCCAACAGGCTGGTGGTAGGTTGAAGGAGATCAGATCCAACAACACAAAAACCCAAAAGCTAGGCAGGCAGCAATACTGACAAAAATATGTAAGGTTACAATGACACAGGCTGAGATACTCTTGCCAAAAATAACCAAGGAAAGAGGAATCCAAGATAAAAATCTGTTACCATGACAACATAAATATAAATGTAAAATATGGGAATAACTTTCCATCTTTTTGGCCTGAACTTCTCCAGTCAAGTGCTAGGACAGTTTTGGCCATCACACTGCACGACAGATGAATAAAGAAAGATCTGAGGACAGCTTTACGAAAAAAAAAAAATTAAGAAGTATATACGAGGGACTTAGTGACAGGAAAAGCAAGTTGGCACTGGATGTTTCGTCTTCTGGTCGGGGAGCCAAGAAAATGGGAAAAGAAGGAACTGGCTTATTCTGTAACAAAGAATCTCTCAAGTCAGAGCTCAAAGATCTTGCTTCCTGGGAAAAGAGTCGCTCTGTGGCAGAGGCTACCTAGATGAACCAGGCAGCCTTTGGGCCAGCTTCTATGAATATTTTCTGACCGATATAGCTGTACTCAGTCTGGGACAGAGGACCGAAGAGCCACCTGACTACTCTTACACACTTTACATATGCATGAGTTGGGACTGCTTCTCAGGCTTACAGCTAACATCAACTTCATTATTTCAATATTACTAACTTACAGGGTTACTTCAATACAGCTATGCAATGCAAGGCAAAACCTAATCTACCTGACTACAAATGCTTGCTTCTTTGTATGAATGGTTTGTAAGATGTGGGCAGTAAATGCTCTTTAGAGAACTATTGTGAAAAATAATGGGTTATTTACACTTAAGTGTAAAATACCACTTGAGCTGTTACAGGTTTAATCTCTCACTTGCTTTGATGGCATGTGGTAATGGCTA